TGCTGAAATATTTAGCCAATGTTTACTCTCGAATACATTTGTCTTTCATCTTTAGATAAGCAACAAGTTACAGCCATATCCCTGTTATAAAACAAAGTTCTTTGCATGCAACACATCTAGGCCTGACCTTCATACTCACTTTCATTCCAGCGTCTCAGACACAGACAAACCATGGCAGTTGCAGGGCAGTGCTGCCCTTGGACTTGATACTGGTTGATCCTCTGGAAAGTTCTGCAGAGGTTTTGAGGCCCAGGAAGGAGCTCTTGCTGGGGCATGCTTTGGCAGCTCCATACCAACAAGAGCTGTTCTGTAGCTGTGTCAGATGGGACTTCATAAGATGTAGTTGTATTTTAGGATTGCAGAGCAAGTGACACATATTCTACAAAATGGAAACATTCTAGAGCTTAGAGCCTTGGATGGGAACTTATTCTTTAATTTCTTGTCCTATAGCAAGGTGCTTGAATAAATAAATGATGATATTTAACCAAAGCGTTATCGGTAACTTTCGATGCTTTCTTTGACTTTTGTTTTCTTCAGATAAAGAAAGAAACCATTGACCTACTGGAGATGAGTATTATAAAGCTCTGCAGAGAGGGGTCTGTGAAGCTGGGACTCTTTTGATAGTTTTACCCACAAGGAAGTCATCTGCAGCTGCATTTTACTATTATCCTGCCTGCAGTTAGGAAATGATTAACAGGTGATGGAATCAAGAGTTTTGAGTTCTCAGAGGTGCATCAATACAGAAAGAGTGCACTGTGCAACTTTACCCAGAGTTTCCTTTCCTTTAACAATAAAACTAATTTTGTGTCATTTGAGTATGACTTTTATTTCCAGAACAATGTGTTACAAAATGAAGATTTACATCTCATTCACCTGCTAGACCTACTAGTCTATGTCACTTTTGAGGCTTGGAAGATGAGCAATCTTGGGTGTGAAAGTCTTTGTACAACTCCATTTTCTGTTCTCTCCATCTGCTGTCCCAAAGGAGACATTTACTTCTCTGATGAGAGTGGTAATCTAGCTCTCACCCTCAAGGTTCTTTGAAAAAGTTGTATCAATTTCAGTAAGTTGTCGAAAAGGTGGTTTTCACCTGTCTGTTTTAGAGCTGGCCAAATGTTATTTTCTACTATTACATGATAAATTATCTTTATATTGTATTGAGAATGTATTTTGTTTAAACTGCTGAAGTGTGAAAAAAATATTCTTCTGCTTGTCCATTAAAATTAAATGATCTCTGGGTGATTCTTTTGTCATTGTGGATGGTATGGGATGGATGGATTTTTTCAGAGGACAAGATGAATAGAGGTGAGCAAGTCATCAGCATCTTGGGAAGCCATTGATCCAAATCAGCTGTTTTGAGAATGAGTTGCCCTGCTGTAATAAAGAACACGTAACCTTTCTGCAGCTTTAAATTGCACCTGAATCAATAGCAATGACTGTAGTAGGTTAAGAAAATTGATCTGCTCTTCCAAAGCAATGTTTTCTGTCCAGTGCTGCCTCAGCACTTGCAGTCCTCTCCCACTGGCATCCAGTGCCATTGGGGTGCCAATTTTCATTGTGTGCCATGCCTGTTAGCTTGGCAGCTATGGAAATGGAGGAGAAATAACGCTTCTGAGATTACACAGAAATTCCCATATAGCTGGCAGTAGCCCTGCAAATGAGTAAGACATAACAAATCCTACTGAATTGTGGGGAAGGGAAAAGCCTATATATAAGCTTTTCCAGGAGGCATGAACTGGACACCCTGATCAAAGTGCACAACCATTTAACTGGTACAAATTGATCATGGGAATCTAGGTGCAAATGCAGAAAACGAGGAAGAGAGCAATTTAGTTAATGAGTAATTCCTGGCCATAATGCAAGTTGAACAAACAATAGCCTCCCAACAATAAGGAAAGTGTCTCAGCTTAAACACTCTCCAGCACAAGTATATTATTCCTTCCTCTCACTGAGAAGAACATGAAAACAAGATGAGTTTTCTTCCACAAGAAGGAGCAGCTCGTCCTTCCAGGTGTCCAGATAACACTGCCTTCAAGCAACAGAAGCTACCAGCTTGGAAGCCCCAGCTCAACATAGTGACTGTGCTCTCCAGCTTCTTCCTCACAGGGGCATTCTGCCTTTCTGTGGGAATCTGCCTCATCCTGTCTGCAAACAGCGTCAGAGAAATCCAGGTTTGTCTGAGCGTGGTGGTGGATGTGCTGTGGAGAAGAAAGTGGGTTACATTTGAAGGGAAGAGGCCCTGGATTTTTTGCTTCTGGAGAAAGATGATAGCTTCATGCCTTGGACACATGTCCAGCAGCCAGTATTTCTGTGAAAATCCATAGAGAGGGTTGGTCACCAATAAAATCTGAGCACTGGGTTGTTAACTGGGTGGTAGTATCAGAAATTTGAGTGGTAATTACTGCCACTGGCAATGTTGATATTATTTCTTGGGTTTTTGAAGGGAAATAACTAACTACTTTGATAGTGTTTGGTACTAGAACATACATATTTGCTGGGGCAGAGTCTTAAAATACAGGAGCCCTGATGTTTAAAAGCCTCCTGGAGGCAAGGTTGTTGGACTCGTGGTGGTGTGAATAGACTCCTGGTTGGAGCCAACGCTCAGCACTACGTCCAGGCTCTTCAAGACAGATGGGCCATGGTGTATGTGGGGATTTGTCAGCTTTACTTGGTCAGCCAGCCCCAGCTGCAGAAGTCAGCACTCCTTTGCCAAGGAGCAGGCGTGAAGGTTCTGCAACAGTCATCAAAAGGCCCTAAAGCAGCTTTAAATTAGGTATAAAACTTGTGAATGTTCATTGAGGCCAAGTCCTGATTCTCTGCTCTTTTTGATTTTTAACTATGGTTTTTGGCAGCCTGGAGTCACTTAGAAGTGCTCTAGGAAGTCTTGGAGCTAAACCACTAACCTGTCCTGTGTGCATGTCCTTTATCACGTATCTCTGCTTGTTCACTTCTCTGACAGATTGATTATTCAGAGAAATGCTCAGATTGTACAAAAATGCGTGAAAATTCCTCTAATTGGAATAAAGAATGCCACTGTTCTGTTAATTTCACACTAAATGAAGATATACTGGTAAGTGGATGCAAGGAACAAACCCAAATTGCTTAGTACCTCCTGTTCTTTAGATCCCTATATGACAAAATACACTCATTCTGTTCTGTAGAGCCCCCAGTTAAATTTTCTTTATACTTTTTTAAAAACATTGAATGCTCTACAGTTTACACTTTTGCCTTTTTTATTAATTTTGGTACCTGTTAAAAATAATCGAGTTCTATCTCTGTCCTTGGTTGGGAGATGTCCAAACCAAAGATGATGAGGATGGAGAAAATGGTGTTTGTCCTAAACTACTGGGTCATGTTGCTGAGACTGAAAATGTTCCACCAAATAGAGCTTATGCTTAGTGCTGCATAAATGACCCCTTAAAATCACAGTGCAATTTAAATTATAAAGTCACTTCAGGGTTCTTTGGTACTGAACAGGCTGTTAAAATGCTCTGCAATTCTTCAGATTGCAGTCAGGCTTGAGATGAGAAGTTTATTTAGCTGAATAATGTTCTTTTATATAGTTTAATAATCCTCTGTCTTGTTTGTATATGCCTGCTTAGCATTCTCCTTTTAATTACAGAACCAAATTTTCCAAAGTGTTCAAATAATTTATGAGAGGCAGCCTTATTTTTAAAAAAATCTGAAGGAATTAAGAGCTAATGGGTACTTTTTGAGGGTTTCTTTGTGTACTTTTTATAAAAAAAATCAGTGTCTGTCTCCACAAAATGACTCCTAGTCATTGCAGGTTCATGGCCAACTGTGCCACCTGGAGTAAACTAATAAGCAGACATTATTTTAGGTTTCATTTGGTGATTTAAAGTATATTTCATTTTGTGCTAAATGCTAAAGCTTTTGGTTGGGGTAAAGGCTAGTTGGTAGCCAGTGTCCACTGAAGTAGTGGACAGTGGTTACCAACATTTAAATATCAATTGAGTGCCCTGTCCCACTCTCTTTTTATAGCAAGTGATAGGAGTTCTCTTGGAATTCTAGGGTGATGTTTTCATGTACTATGGCCTGCAAAACTTCTACCAGAACCACCGTCGCTACATGCTGTCAAGGAGTGATGCACAATTGTTGGGTCGAAATGCAAATGTAAGTTTGCTTCTTTGTGTTGTGAGACCATCAGTGTTTTCACCAGGTGCATCCTGGACCATGTGGAGAGCTAACTAGGTGTAACTGTGTGTTAAGATGGCTCTAGGGAATAATAAGGTACAGATTTTCAGTGTTTCATCTCTGCTTTTATGATCATTAGGGCCATTATGTTTAATAAGTCAATAAGAGAGGAAGATTGAGGGCATAAATAAGATGACAGTCCTGTGTAGCAGTTCTCAAGCCTGCACCTTGTAGGGGTGCTGATTAAAAATACATTGTCTTTTTCAAATAAATCCACAGGCAGCTTTTCCTTCCAGTGCTTTCAGTCATCTCAGCCAGAACTGTTTTAAGCTCTGCTTTTATTACAGGTTTAGGGAATTAAGTTATTCTAAATCTTTCATTTTGCCATCTGGCTTTGGAAGCAGACAAGGAGCAGGAAAAGGTTTATGGTGAATTAAGTGGTCATGT